GACACGAGTAGAAGTGCCAATAAACTAAAAACTATAATAAATCGCAAACGATAAATAATTCTTTGTATATTTAAAATAAATATTCGAAAAATTAATAATCGTAAAATTAACATTGACAAAATTATGAGAAAAGAAGAAAAGTTAAAAAGGAAGGTTCCGTGTCAAGTTAATTTTGCTGCTCTTTATTGATTGCTCGAATAAAAGAAAAGCGTTCAATTTTACAAGTGTGCTGAATCAGTCACAAATGCCATTTTATGGATATATCTTTTCATTTGAAAGCGTAAAGCAACAAATCTTGGCATGCGTTTTCTCGCTTCTGACGTCATTAAACAAAGACAGTTCACAGCGAATAGTCAAGAGAATACGTAAATTAGAATACGTAAATTTCCAGGACCTTATTTTTACGTTTCTCACACACGGTCGTGTTTTTTTCAAATGAACAATCCCCTTTACTTTATGCATCAATAGCTAATAGTGAGCTTTCAAGAATCCTTTTGCTTTCTAAAACGTGGAAAATATGACATTCCATTTCGTCCAACGACACAGTTATCATTACCGAAAAACTTGCTTACGTTCTGTTCATTAATCCGAGCTACGTCGTCAAGAAATCGTAATCTTCTCGTAATCCGTTTGAGTCATCCGTTCTCGCGCGCCAATTCATCGCTATCAACTCCAGGTTTTTCTAGATTATTGATGATCGAGGCGTTTCAGCGCACAAAGGAGTGGCATAATAACGCAATTAGCGACGCGTTGACAAATTGAATCGATCCGGGATGTATTCTTTTCACCGTGCCTCGACGTGCCTATACAGAATATATGTCTCTCTCTCGGCTTTTCCCCTACCGATAAATATTTCATGGCGCCCGTTGTCCCCACATCCGTCGAACGTTGGACGATCCTCCGTTACACAGCTTTCCCCGGCTACCGCCCTCGAAAATTCTTGCGGTGAAAACCATGAAAAACCGATAATCTTCCATCAATCAGTATCAGTGCGGCACCGTGGCCGTTTCGAAAATGCAGGATATTCCACGCGGACGGGCTTATAAATTTAAAAGGGAATCGTACTTAGCCCGATCGGCGCGTTCAAATTTTCCACGGCCGGGCACGAAGGGGCTGAGTTATGGCAAATATTGATTTTCGTGTCGGTGCGACCACTATTTTTACTTTGAGCTACATATCGAGGAAATCTCACTCTTAGCGAACACCATCGCGTTCGGCCGACGTTGCTCGCGGACATTCGGCCTCGCGACATCTCGGAACCGCGTGACGTTCGCAATCAGATCGAGCTCGGGCAAAAATTAGCGTTCCTCCAACCTCGCCCCCAGATTATCTCGTCGCGTTTCACACAGCGCTCGTTACGCCCGCTGCGCGACGCGAGACGATAAAGCGGCGCACGAAGCTGCCGGCCGTAATTTGTCCGGCGATGTCACAGAACTCTTAACTCCGTCCGTATCGGAAACGGCGTGAAAACGGCGAACGCAATTAGAGAGGCGATCGTGTGTACACCCGCGGATTGGTCGCGATGCAATTACGCACGGCAGGGTGGGTGGTCGGTCGGTCGGGCGAAGGTGTTAAATTCACTGGATGTATACGTCGGGCCGTGCGAGAGAGCGAGCGAGCGAAGCGAGCCCCATTCTGGGCGGTAGCCGACACAAATCCGATCGTATTTTCATCGACGCCAAATTGGCAATATCCTCGCCGGTGACGATTCCTGAATTATGCATCAGCCTCGGGGACAGTCGCTCCGAAGTTTATCCATCCCGCTTGTTTCCACCGAGAAGCCCGACCCGCTCGGCTCTCTTCCACGCGGAGAGTTTTCTCCCCCCCTCTCTCTTCCACCACCTCCTCCTCTTCCTCTTCCTCCTCACCCTACTCCTCCTCGTCCTCGTCGTTCGCCTCCTCCCCCCTTGCTTCTCTACCTCCTCTGCACCGTCCTCCTGCAGCCCCCTCGGAACATTGCACGTCTCGTCTCTCTCGCCGAATTGCCACCCCCTTTCGGGCTCCCTACCCTCCGCACCCTTTCTCGGCTGGAAACGTCACTTATTGGTCGAGCGAGAGGGTGGAAAAAGAGACGATACCCTCGAATCCGACCAATCACGGTGAACGCCCGCGATAATGCTCGCGATATCTTGCACCGGTGAAACCTGGCCTGGCGCGAGAGGCGAACGCCGTAGGAGAGAAGTTTCCGCGTGAGCGTGAGATAACTCTCTCATCGGGAGCGATTCCGGCCGAAACCGCTTGGATTATCGCCCGGATTCAGACGCGACGGTACATACGAATTTATATATTGAATATTTCTCTTCAAATCTCTCATTCTTAATGAGTAATCTTCATTTCTCACTTTTAACTACACGGAAGCAGAGCGCTTGATTCAAGTAAACAATTACTCCAATACTCCTCAGCAACTTCTTATTTAGATTAAGTAAATCTTACTCGAATCATATTACTTGACTCAAGTAAAAATTTGCTAAGAAATATTGGGGCAATTATGATTTACTTGAATCCAGCACTATTCTTCCGTGTAATTCTGATAGCTTGCCGCTAAAATAATCCCCCCCTCGACCTAGAGATAACGCCCCGTACGTTATCAATCTTTGAAATGAAGTTCTCAGTAAGAACGAGTTTTCCCGTCCAGCTTTTCTGTCAGTCGGTGGAGCTCTTACCTTCATGAGGGACTTTCGAGGAGACGAAGCGTGACACTCGCTCGCACGTCGAAGGACAAACTCGTCGTTGCCGTTTTAATAATCAGGAAGCATCGTAGATGGGCTAGGTTGTCCTATTGAGCGCTGGGAAAACGACGCTTAAGCCTTTAAGAGGGCATCAAGGCCGGCTCGAGGGACAGACAATGGGAGGTAAAAGTAAAACGTCGTTCCGGGAACGAGGGTGGCCCACCCCAATAATAAAATGATAAGAACCGTCGTCCTTCCTCCTGTCGACCGCCTCGCCCGGTCGAACTTCCTCCGTGCCGAACCCCCGTCGTATATAAATGTCGATATTATTGTAACGAAGCGCTTTTAATGCCGATTTCGTGGCGCGCGTTTACCCGCGCGCGCGTGCGCTCGCTCGCTCGCGCACACACATTCGCACGCGTCGCTTACTCGTTGAAACAGTTACGGGCGGAGGCGGCGTGGCACGTACAGCCACAATTATTATCGCGTACACAGACGGTACACACTGGATCGAATCAAACGATGGAACCGATCTCCAGCGGTAGAAATCGATTTCCTATTTACAACCCCCTGGCCGTCGCCCTCTTCCGCCCCCACGTACTTCCTATCCGGACGCGTCGCAGCGATGGATACGACCTGTCGCTGAACAGAGCTTGCGAAACTCGAGCTCGAATCGGGAATACGCGTCCAATCCGTTCGATTCAATTCCCAGGGAAGACATAAGGGCACGGGAAAAAAATATTTTGCCGGCACAGCAAATTTCTCGGTTACTATACGGATAGCAAAAAGATTTGTTGAGAATATTAATTGTTATTTGCTGGAAATACACGCACAGCAAAATAATTTGGTTATGCCAACTAAACGTTTTGTTGCAACAGCAAAATGATTTTTTTCCGTACAACGAATCTTTTTACTGTCCGCGTAATAACTAAGAAATTTGCTGTGCCAGCGAAATTATTTTCCCTTATGCGGCTTTTTTTCGGTCACATCGTGCGTGTAAATGAAGTCCAAGAGCAATCGATAGACAAAATTTTATTTACATGATATTGATGATGTAGGATCGGCCTAACAGCTCGGTTAAAGTTTTCTTCATCATACTTCATATATGACGTACAAACTATGATACGGATCTGCATAAATTTGTTTTAATTTTATTATCGTTATATTCGCCAAGGAAATATTTTTTAATAAACGTTGGAAATTTCTGGTTAATTCTGGTTAGATGTTTTGAAAACGTTAGAAACGTTCATAGATGTAATCCGCGAGCGCATTGGATTCTCCAAATGTGTGAATCGATAATTAAAAATCCTTGAATCATTTATTTCGATGAATTGTGTCCGTTTCTCTGCTAAAGCCTCGCGAAGGTCTTCAGCGTACAGAATGCGCGTAAAGAGAGCAGAGTGTGTTTCTTTTATTTCGTACACTCGTCTGCGAGATCTATTCGAATTTAGACTTGAGTTTTTTCTTATAAAAATTAATAAAATGTATGTCGGATGGCGCATGACTGACAAAGTTCATATTCGAAGTTACGAGAAAGGGATGGAATTGAAATAATTAAATATTATTTTCGTTGAAACTTTGGTCAAGTTTATCCATTATCGGTGTGATTTATAATAATGTAGTCTTTAACGTAACACTTTTTCACACGGCTCTAATGCAACGCGAGGCGCGCTTAGATGCATCTCAACGATGCGTAATTTCAGAATAAATAATCCGTTAGTCACGCGACAAGCAACATCCATCGACAGCCGGTTTGTTCACCTTGCACTTAAACTCTCGCGATCAACGGTGCGTTTTCTCTTTCTACCTTTCCTGTTTTTTCTTTTTTTTTTCGACAAAAATAGTTCGGACGGACAAAGCGGGACTGTCGGACGATAAACTTGCTGCCCCATCGATCGCAGAGCTGACGGACGGTGAACGAATCAGCCTCAAATTATTGACAATTATCGATCCAGGAGACCGAACCTCCAATTTCATAGATCTCGCAGGAATCACTGCCATTCCCCCTCGCGCATCTATCCCCGCTTTCGGTGTCGACGTTTATTTCTCACGAAAGAGAAAGAAGACACAGTCACCTAACGCGTATGAGAACACGATCGACGCGGATGCTTCCGTCCGAAAAACAGCGACCAACGCCGAGTCCAAATTTCAGCCCTACTTCAAGTCTAACTTAGTTCTACCATAATTATCCAAGGGTCTTCTATTATGCTCCTTTCGTTCTACAAATAAGGAAGTTATTGTGGTTTTCTCCACTTGAAGAGATTTGATATAGAATGAAAAATTTCGACTCAGGACACCGCATATCGCGTCAATCACTTGCGCGGTGAGCCTTTAAGATTTCGGCGATTGTTCCGGTTGCTCGGTCTCGCAGGTTAACCTCTTGCACTTTTTCGGGGGACAATAGTGCACCCCTGTGGGACAAGGGTACGGTTTCTTCGGGGGACACGGCGGCAACATGATCGGCTTGATCTCAGTTTTCTGCTCGTAACACGGGCACATTCCGGGATGCATTTTAACCGGCGGCGGACAAGGACAGAGAAGGATCGGTGCGCATGGCGGTTTCGGCAACGGTGGGGGTATGCAAATTTTCTTCTTTTTCTTGTTGAAAAATTTCTCTATGGGTGACTTGATGGCGCCCTTCTTGATGTCGTCCGGCATGAGCGGGCACGAGCCGGGCTTCGCGAATTTCGACGGCGGGCACTTCACCTTCTCGTACGTCATCTTGAACGGCGCATCGATTTTGGGGTGATCGCATTTGCTCCTCGGCAGACAAGTGTCCTTGCATTTCTTCTCCTCCGGCATTTCCACCTTCTTGTCTTGCGGTTTCTCCTCGCACCTGACCTTCTCCCGGAGACAAGCGTCCTTTTTCTTACAGGGTTTGCCGCAATCTTTATCCTTCTCTATTTCGCAGATATCCCTCAATTTCCGGCAACCCGTTTTGTCGGAATTAGACTTGTCGAAAGGCATCGTGCTGATGTGAAACCCTCGCCGATGAGCTCTTCGCAGTGGAATCGAGTAACGAGGGCCGCGGTGAGCGTAGATCTTGCATGTTTTACGTTTAAGTTTCATCTGTCGGCCAGTTTCGGAATACGATGGGGTCAAAGAAGGACTAGGTGGAGGCCAGGAAGAAGTTTCGTGTTTAGAATTTTCGTTTTTTAAATGCAACAGATTGCGCCCGTATTGCATATTCCGAATGGAGCGTAGACGAGGTACTCTGTATTTCAATCGACAGGAAAGTACTTGAGCTGACATCGGACTGCAAGGAGGCGATTCTGCCGATGGTACATTAAACGGTCGTTCATAGTTCATTGCAACGGAATTTTTGGAAAAATATTTTTTCGGTTCTTCGCCAGCTCGACTTGATAATTTGCTCATTAGAGGCTTGTTCTTGAAGGAAGAGAAATATCTCCTGCAATCCGATCCTTTTTGGCTGGACATCAACGGGTTTCGATTCCACTGAACTATACCAGATTCTCCAATCTCAGAAACAGACCTCGCGCCATGTTTTATTTTTGACCCGAGATACTCCTCCAACATCCCGACAGGCGTTCTCAGTGGACTCTCGGACAGTGCATCGACTTGACTGTATTTCGCTCGACGAATAGCCTGCGGTTTAGAGAAAGACGTGAGAAGGAAGATATAGCTACATTTTCTTAGAAATATCTCTAACTCTCAGTTTTTCCACCTGATCAATTTGCGATTGCCGCCGATGCCTCCACGTACCCTCTGTCTCTCTCTCTCTCTCTCTTTCTTTCTTAATCGCTCTGTCTATCTCACTGACGCGATTTAACAAGAATTATTCTTGCACGGTTTCTTGGGCGGGCATTTAACGCAGAATGGTTTTCTCTTGGGTTTTCTCTGCGGTTTCGAAGCGGGATAACCCGGTGGATCGCTCGGCCGACAGGGGCCCTTAGGTGGGTCGCACGGATTCTTCGTCGGTCGAACCGGTGGACCCTCGCCGCAATCTGACTCGCCCAGCCGCAGTCCGGTGCCACCGATTGCCTGCTAGTTGTTATGCATTAAATCACGAGGATCTTTCCGTCACTTCATCACTGTTCTCGCGATAGTCCCGCCTCTGCCCGGTCCACCTCCCTCCTTTGAAGAGATTACCGAAACGACAGCACAGGCGGCTCGTATCCTTTTCGAGCGTAAGGAACTTTTGTTGCGAAAATAACGGTAGCAATTAACGTCGACGTGAACGAGTTTCACGACTATATCGGCCAATCTTCTGATCCAGCCTGCGACGCCGACGTGAGAATCTTTCGATCGATGAAATCGGGCCGATTCATCGATTCATTGGCGTCCTTGTTCCCGTTTCCAATCTCCTTCTTCCTTTTGTCCGATCGTCGTCCGGTGTTCGCGTTGCTTTCGGGAGGAAAAATCCGGCGCTTGAACTCCGACACCTTTTCGATCAGAATCTGCAGTTTCTCGACGGCGTCCTTCTCGAAAGCTCCCTTCGACATCGCGTGCCCGGCCTCCGTCACACTCGACGAGTACGTGTGCGTGATGAACCTCGTCAACGCATCCCCGCCGACACGTCCTTCGTCATTCCGGAGCATCAGCAACGTGGGCGCGAAATTGTCGCTTTCGTCGTCGAACTGCCGCGGCTCTTTCTCCCGTGTTCTCTCAGACGTGTTCCGATGATCGTCCCTAACGATCTCGTCCTCGAAATCCTCGCCTTGAGGGAAATAATTGTCATTGCTCGACCTGTCGCCGCACGATAACCCAGGTTCCTCGGGCTGACGGCTGTCGTAACGACGACGCGACGAGGCGATCGTGTATAAAGGACCCCTGTTGGCTTCGCTCTCACCGCGTTCGATCGATCTCCCGTTTACGGATAACTCTACCGCAGATCTCGCCGGCGGGCTCGAGCCCTCTCTTCTCTGCGGAGAGAGGACGACCAGAGTGATCGAATTTACGGTAACTCGTTATTTACCGTCGCGAACGAGACGTCTTTTTGTCTCTTTTCCTTCCGCCTCGTTCGGCGTCCGCGCTGTGCTCGCGAGATTTTCAGCGGTTCGGGTGGGTCGGTAGTCGATGGCAAAAAAAAGAAAAAAGGAGGCAGAAGGGAGGTGGAGCCACAGCGACCAATTTTTTTTTTTTTTTTTTTTTTTGAGAACTCNACTCTAAATTTCCCGCTCTCGCTCGTCCGACTTAATCGCGCGATTTTCGTCGAAGTTCGTGTGAATTTTATACCGCACGGAGGAAAGTATTTTCCTGGCGCGGCAAATTGTCGGTCGCCATGGTGACAACAGAATGATCTGTTACATGGAAGAAATTTTGCTATTGGAGTAAAACACCATGAAATTTAGTTGGCGCAACTAAATTATTTTGCTGTCCATGTATTCGACAAATAGCAATTAATATCCTTGACAAATCTTCTCGCAATTCAAACAAATCATTTTGTTATCACCATAGTAACTGACAATTTGCTGTGCCGACAAAATATTTTTCTCCGTGTGCGAGGATTACGAGAGATTTGCGAGATACTATTCTACTTTTGCAGCTCTCACGCTCGAAACGGTATAATATGGGACGCTAAACTCGCTAATCAAGAGGAAAAATCGGTATCTCGGAAATACTTACTTCACCGATCGTTCCGCGTTCTCGGAACCTGCCGTCGGAACTTTCCGTTTTCAGTCGTAACTGTAACGAGCAATGATATAACGTGACACACCTGCTTAATCAAGGCACTAAGAGATTACGCTTACTAATGAAAAAAATGCAGATAGAAAGTGCATTGCAACGTTTACTATCGCCCACAAAATTTATCACATTTCACACAGATGTGCTCTATTTTACAGACATGATTATAGAGGCGGCGTGTTTTCCTAATTATCGGCGGGTAAATTAAACGCATCGAAATTGTATATCGAAGTCGCGCGATAGATAAGATTCCTTGTCCAAGCGATGTACTTCAAAGTATTTGTGAGATCTAAGATTGTTCCGTAATTCTGGCGAGAGATATCCTTCTTCCTTGCGAAACATTTATACATAGTAAGAAATTTGATGTTAAAAACAGTCCACTGAATTTTTTGTGTCACTTTAACACGGGAAATATGTTAAAAAGCACATAAATACGTATTAAATTAACATTTACTTTGTTAACATATCAGTTTTTAATCCTCTAACCGCAAGGTTGGGGTCGGATGCGACCCCATAGCTCGTTTATTTTATAAACGAGCACGTGCACGCGCTGTTTCTCTCCTTAAGGAATGCTCCATATTATTATTTACTTCTTTTACCTATTTTATACATGGATTACGTGAAGAATAAATAAAACAGAGCACAGAGTCGGATCTAACTTCACTTGCCTCGATACGATCGAAAAATTCACCTTGTCGTTAGAGGATCAACATCCATCTTGTTAAACCAACGCAAACACTTCGATAGACCGTTATTAACGCAAATTTTTTTACTGTGTAAGGTGTGCCGATGAAATCGGGCTTCAACAGTCTTGATCCTGCTCGTCTTCCGAGCAACCCGGAGCTCTCTTTACGGGCGGACATTCTTCCTCCTTAGGCTGGGGCCGGGCTTTCTTTATATCAAAACAGACTTTCTTTTTCTTGTCTTTGCACATTGTATGCCTATTCTCCCTCTTGCCGCATCTCTCTTCTTTGGTCTTTCCGCACGTATCTTTCTTCGAGTCGTTGCAGGGAGCCTTCTTCTTGCAAGGATCCACCTTTGCTCCACAGTTGTTATTGCCCTTACACCACGATCGCTTCTGACTGCACTTCTCTTTCCGGGTCTCACAGACATCACGGTCATCTTTAACGCCGCAAGAAGAACTTTTTCCGCCGCTGCAAAGAACCGTTGTTTGCTTTCCACACGCCTGTTCGCACCTCGCGGAGCAATCCGTTGACCTTCCTTCGCATGCTTCCCTCCTCTCCTGACACGTTTCCTCCGCCGTACTGCAGGACTTCTGCCTCTTCTCGCAGATGTCGTCTTTGTCCTTCCTCTTGCGAAGTCTGCTCAACGCCGCGCAGATCTTCTCCAACTTGCGCCGAATATTGGACTTCGAGTCGCAGAACTCCTTCGACGTGAAGAGAACCGTCCTGGCGGGGGGTGCGTCGTAAACGGGAACGGCGAGCGCTTCGTTTACAACGGGAATATTTCCCCGGTGATGGGAATCCAAAATAGTCGTCGAACGCGATCGGATTTGGGCATGCGAATTTGATAAAACGGACTCCTCTCCGAACCATGTTCGCTGAGTCCCAGTTTCCCCCTTAACAACGTCGGGTATTATCGCATTATCCTGGAGATCCTCGATCCTCGATCGTCCCCAAAAACGATTTCCCTCGCGATTTATCGGAATCCAGTCGTTCGTCGCGCTAACGAACGTCCTAGTGGGAAGCCAGCCGCAGAATCCTCCGCTTTGACCACAGATATCGCGCAGACATTTCGGTTTATTATTTAATAACGTTCCTGACATCAGTCGGCTAGTCAACGTTTCCGTCCTGCGAAGTGTTTTTGCGTCTGAAACTATTCCGGTGTTGTTAAACTTCCCGATCAATCTTGTCGGCTTTCCGTCGTCGCTTAACGAAGTCGACGGCAATGATCGACAATTATTCTCTTTCGCGTCGCGGACTGAATTCCCGATCTTGCCGTTATCCTCAATCGGAAGATGCCTCCTCGAGGTTTCCGTTGTCGCAATAAAGTTTACGTATCCTTGAAACGGCGAACACGTCAAGTCGGGTAACCACTTGCGGATCGTGGCGCAATCCCTTTGCTGAGTTCTCGTGCCGTTAGGACCGATCTCATCCAGGAGTCTCGCGTGAGGACGCAGTCCGCTGCGCGCGTTGCCCGCCTGAGGAAGGCGAGACAGGCACTTATGCTATGAATTCGGTTGTGCTCCGTAGACTTAAGCCAGCTAGGATTGACTAAGACTTAGAGGAACAGTTTCTAACAGGTTCTAAGCGCCACTCCACCGGCTATCGATCCTGCTCCTCGAGATGGAGATTTTGTTAAGAAAGCGCTTCCGTGCCTCCGCGTTAGAGAATATACGCGAAGGTTCTTTTCTTTATTCTTTTTTTTTTTAATTTAGCAATGCATGAAGTAACAGTATCAATCATAGCCTATCTCTTTCTCGAATTCCCATTATATTTTAAATAAATATTTTATGTGAGACGAAGAATTCATAATTTTCCAAATTCTCATACTTTTCAAAGCTACGAACGTTAGAGATTTATTTATTTCTTACCTTTGTGATTTCATTAGGCATCGATGAGTTATTTAACGTCGGAACTCCCTCGGCGATTGGTAAACGATAAAGAGCTTCCATAATTTCCTTTATTTCGCCCTACAGAAAGAAAAAAACTATTTTATATTTCACATTAAAATTTCATGTTTAAAGTATAACTTTCCGAGAAGAAAAAAGGGAAAGTACATTAGATAGATATTCGGAATTACAGGTAAAACTATAAATAAAATTATATGAACAAACGAATAATGAATTATCTATAAAATATTATGAACAAACGAATAATATAATTATTATTATTAATTAGTGATCGGAGAAATGATTTCCGACATGACCGAATAAATACTTCAATAATAAATTAATTAAAGCTTATACTTTACCTTTCCATTATCTGCTTGACGATTGAAGAAATTGAGAATACTACTATCGCCAACTTTCTTTGCATTATTAATTGTGATAACTGAACTACTATCCTCTATCGAGCTAGACTTCTTTCGGTTAGCATCCTTTAAATGCTGTTTAAATTGATATTTATTGTTTATTTAATAAAGAAAAGGAAGCTATTTTTCCGTAATTAATTTCGTGATTATTTTAATGTAGTGAAATATATATAAATATATATATATATATAGTGAAATATATATAAATATACTATTTTTTTAGTTTCTCATAAATTTAATAGATATAGATAAATTTAATAAATAATAAGTTTGTAAATTTATTTATTACTTATTTTTTCTAAATTTCAGTTCTAAAATAGTTCTAAAATTCTCGATTTATAAATTACATTGAAGTTTTTCGCATAGATAATGAATGTTAAACAACTTACAGTTGGTATGAATGGTTGATCACAGTAATTACGTATTCTATGTTGATTAGGCAATGGTTTAATAACAGCCGTTAAATCATACAGCGCGAGTACGTTCAATTTTGTGCTATTTCTTAACAATTGCGACAGCGTCCAACTAATTTCTCCAGCGTCGCCAGTAAAAGCATTCTATATAGATATTTTTAATTAGAATAATCTGCTTGAAAGATTAATAAAAAGAGGAAAATAATAAGTATTTAATGCAAACGTTAACGCGAAAAAGTTCTCTTCTCATTTCTCAATGATACACACGCTCTTTAAAATTTTTCGATAAAAAGATTTTACAAAAATTGATAATATAACCCATAGAAATAAATACATTGTACATACGTATATGTGCGAATCGGATGAGGATTCGTAAGAACAAATTTGGTAAAAATCTTTTGTAGCGCATCAAAAATCAGCTAAATAAAATTCATAAATACCTTGAGGTTCTGTCTTCCAATATGGAACTGACGTGGCCCGAAGGACCTCACGATTAATTTTGTCGCCCGGGAAAACATCGTTAAATATGCCGGTGAATAACTTGGAAATTTTTTAACGCCATAAACGGGCGTCCGACATGTCCGAATTGATTGATTACACGGCGTTTGTTAAACGAACATCGGTTTCTTCGACTTCAACTGTTTGAATATATTGCAGCAAAAGTCAAGGTGTTGTACGATTTTACTATCGATATTTCCATCATCATTAATGGATGCGGGTATGCGAATATTATATAATAAATATAACCGATAAATAATTTAATGAAGAAATATATCGAATTAATTGACATATAGTGATATATTTTCTAGGCGATATATAATATTATCGAAATACATTATTTGAAAATAAAAAGGTCTGTGACTAGATATAATCTCGGAGATGAAGTTTGATCTTTTTTATAGTGCTACATGAATTAGAATCAAGATTCGCCGGATATCAAAATTTTATTTCGAATTTTATTGAACCGCAAATAATAAAAAATAAATGGCGTTTATATCATTCGGGAGTGTGAGTCTTCTATTTTAATTTACATACACGCCAGTTGCGGTGTTTTTATTTTTTTATAAAAATTAGTCTTCAGTGTAAAACTCAATTGAAAATGAGGTTGAAAATTAAACAGTTGCCATTTTTTTATTTAATACGATATATTTTAGAAACATACGATAGTAACATTATGAATTTAATATCACCGAAAAGTAGAGACTTCAACTTTTACATTGTTTTTTGAACTGTTTCGCTAACATCATTTTTGCCGAGGTTGCAGCCTGATTTGCCTACGTTTCAATAGAAGGGTAAAGAGCGCCTGATCAGCCTTTGAGTCATACTACTTACAAAATAGAAGAACGCCTGACATAATGTTGAATCATATCATAACCTGAAATTTTTCAATTTAAAAGAAATTTATTGCTTAATACAGATACTGTTTATCGCCATCTTTTCTTTGTACTTACTTATTTAATCTTACATACTAAAAAGAAACACGAAATTAACAGAAAATACTATCTTTCTAGAGTAGAAATAAAACCCCATGATCCAATTATTGTATAAAGCAGAGAGCAGTGCCTTAAAGTTACTTTATCTTAGGTATTACACTGACTTGCACACATTCTTGTTACATATTTCTTTAAATTTCCACTACTTCAAATTCTCGGTAAGTACAGTGGCGGCTCGTAGCGGAGACTTTGGAACTAAAAGTTGACGTCGCCTCCCATGACCCAAGACATGAACCATTTCCAATCAATATTTATCGACCATTTAGTCGAGACTCAACCCTTTCTGGCAAGCGAAGCTCAACTTTAACAATTAATATGTCCAAAACTAAGACGTAATGGACGAAACGCTTGAACATAAGCGAGTACTTTTCAGTGTAATTTTACTGTGTTTAATTACGTGGCGATCCATTCTCGAAAACGGTAACGCGCTGATCGGTCGCCACTCAATCAAATATAGTAAAATTACATTGAAGAATATTTATCCATGTTCATGTGTTTCGTTCAATTAATCATAACTTTCGAGATATTAAATTACGAACATTTACTTGGGGCTAACGGTCTCTCGGGTGCCATCTAGCGGTGTCGAACGGGAATTCTTACGGAAAGCTCGAATATCGACTCTTGATCTAAGACTTGGTAAAAAGTCGGCTGAGTGTTGAATACAAGATTGAACATTAACACATAAAATATAATAGTCTACATCTACACATAGACAACGTTAATTATGTATAATATATCATCTATGTAGATAACGGGTAATCTATGAATCGTTATGACTCGATTTCTTTTTACATTTCGTAAGTCTTATTTTTATATTTTGTTATTTTTATATTATTGTTAAGACCTCCCAGGTAAACCTAGATAAGAATAATATTTGTGTATTAACAGCAAATTAACGTCACAAGCTTTGATGTTATGCAAAAAAAATTGACATTATCGACGATCGGAAAGTCAGGCTACTTATTCTTTCTGTGTTACCTGTATACATCAACTTTTTAATTTTTAATATTATATATCTTCACAATTAATATCAAGATCGGATATGTCAGCTATTTAATAGTTTCAACTAATTTAAATTAACAATTAATCTTTTGTCTTTGCACTGTGCTATGTAATTTATAATATTTTACGCAGTTTATATTATCTATATGAAAAAAAGTCCCTATAAACATTAGGTAGACAATACGTAAATTATTCATGTAAACGTAATCTTAAAATCTACAACACAACCCATGTTGGGTATGCAATGTCAACATTTAGTTCGAAAATCTCCGTTACGAGCCGCCACCAACCAGTTCTACCGAGTGTAAGTTTACTACACAATTATTGTTTCATATTATATATTATACTTGATTAACTTTTACAAAGATATGTATCTTTTAACGTCGTTCGTAAAAGATAGTCTTGATATTTTCGTTTCCCAGTAAGTACTGCCCTCCGCATTCGATGGACAAGGAATCGCTTCTCCGTTTGTCTCGATTCATTTTGATCTGCGATCGCGCCAATTATATTCTACATGGTGCTACATAAGGATTTGAAATCGTGCTATGATTCAAAAGTGGATCAGCCGTCTCTTCTATCTTGTAAGTAATATGACTCAAAAATTGATCAGAAGCATTATATTATATTGAAACATAAGCAAAATTAAATAGAGGCTATAATTTCATAACTATAAGTTCAGTAAAACTTTAACTCATAAATAATTAAGTTAAACTTTAACTCAGACATTATATTTAGGAACTAGAAACTTTCAAATTGTAAAATGCTTCTTAAATCATCTCATTATCATTATTCTTTCGGAAGTTATAGCCCGTTGAATTTTATCTACTTTTCATGATAGAATAATAACTTATTTATTATCAAGTGATAAGACTTAACGACAAGTCGGAAAGATCTTTATTTTCAAATATTACGACTCAATAATGGATCGGATGAATATTTTATCCTGTCATTAAATTTTATTATCTTCGTCCTTTTTATTCTTTCTTAAACGTCGTCCACTCCCAACTAGCAGTAACACGAATTCATAAAATCTAAATCTAACGTGGTACCAGCAATTTGCCAAACTTGCTGTTGATAATACATAATAAGCCACTGCCAATACTTTGAGTATTCAGTTCGTTATCTACGAGCTGAAATGTGGTTTACTTTCTTATCAGCGCGCCCTTATCAATAGTTGCTAACACGAGATTATCGACCAACAAATGATGATAATGTTGAATCGTGCGCATTTTATTCTCTCATACGAATATGCATGTGGTATTGATCGAGTAATAAAAATATCCTGTTAAATTATGCCGCATGCTGGATAATTTATGCGCAATAGTAAGAAAACTTCAATCATGAAGGAAGAAGGAAGAAGTTCGCGCGTGCACGAGATTAAATGAAAACCCGATACTTCATTTATTTCAACATTCCCCCTCCTTTATTCATACTCTTAAACAAATTATTCTACAAGACATGTAGCAGATTAAAACGCTTTTATTTTCACTCCGAGACGCGCTTGTATTTTTATTAATCAGTGTACAAAGCAGGATTTTCATATGCGAGTTGGTATATATGTTTAATAAATTAAAAAAAAAACAACCACAAGATACATCATTGTTATTATCTCGTTAATAACCTTCGTCCGACCACGTGACGTTGTAGCTGGGATATTTTTTCTTCAGCAACTCAACCGATATTTGATGATCAGCTTTTCCGTAACCCTGTAACAAGAAGATAATTAACGTCCTCTTTTTGAAATTAACGTGAAACATCAACTTGTTGCGCGATTTTCACGCAATTGGACGACTTCGTTACACTCGGTTGAGGATTTGCCAACAGCAAACGGAGAACTACCTGACATCGGTGATCGCCACGTTACGAGAATAGATTTCGCGTTATTTCCAGTCTTGAAGCTTTTACGTGAAATGCGCTCGAAATCCACGGCTGTTGAGTTGGCTGCAGCAACGTGCAAAAACGAGAAAGAGCAGAAAAAAGAAGAGAGAGGGGAAATAAAGAGAACGGAAACAAAGATTTCGGATAAAATTCCAGCGACGAGTCGGATCGTGCACATTATTTCGAAGACAACGAAAAGCCTGAAGTGGCGACAAATGAGATCCTTAGACGAACAAAAGCGTTTTCCCGAAGTAGAAGACAACCAAACAATACAAACGTACTCAATAAAAAAAAAATTAGATAATGCACCGTAAATTCGCAATTGTTGTTAAAAAACCATACCTCATCTCCTAACATTAGATACAATCGGAACATTAGATCAGATTTTTTACGACACAAATTCCGATATCAATTATAAACTGAGAGAAAAAATATCTAAAAGAAAAATATTGATTTGATGAGTACCAATAACATATTTATTTACATTAATATATCTATTTTCACGTCAAGAAAAAAACTTTTCTCAAATGAGAAAATATACGGTTTTCTCAAAACTGTAGCTTTTCATGAAAGCAGTTGTTTATTCTGTTTAAATAAAAAAACTTAGATTTAAGGGAGTATTCTCGTTGGGCCACTAGTGCGGCATTTATTCAAAAAGGTGCTGTAGGAAAACTATTAAAGCTATCGAGATGAACTTTTTTTTAGAAATGGTTATTAACATTTGTACTTTATAACGGTGCTGTGTAATATCCAATATTAATTATGGAAACCATTGTGGATGACTATGACAAAGTAAATTGTCAATAAAAATATCTTCACCTCACGGATGTGATTGAGAACCACTGCGGAAACATATGAATAAACAATTTTCCCAATCAATATAAATATATTCCTAAAATGTACTACAATCAATCAATGCTCTAACACAAACATTGACAAAATGATGGCTTTTTAAAGATAAAACTTCGGTTTTTAGCCAAAATTGCGATATTTATTATGTAATAACAAAATAATTATTACAGATATCGCTATCATTATAGTCCGCTTTATGGAAAGACATGTCTTTTACAAGCATGTCAAATTCGAAAGCAATATTTTTTAATAGTTTTTGCGCTATCACTTCTATCAGTTTGAAAAATAGCGTTTCGCAGGAAAAACATTGTTGAAAGTTTTAATTTCTGTTTAAACATAGATTTTGACTACTTATATTTAATCAGCTATCCCGAGATCATGAAGTAAACTTTCTATTTTTTTCAAATAATTCCTATTCAGCTAGCTTTTCATCTTTCCGAGAGCCATTTTCGCCTCTCGAGAGACTCGAAAGAGAATCGACGCTCAGCAGCTCTCAACTGTTGGATATCGCGCGTAGTTGTGAAAAATTTCGTCTGAGGTCCGAGGAGCTTTACCACCAGAACCTTCATAATCTTTAGTAATGATATATAACTTTCGTTATACAAATTGCTAAGAAAGCAGCAATTTCAATTATTTTCGACGCTGAAAACATATGCTTCAGGACAAAATGCCACATTGTAACATTAAGCTTTGCGCTTAACCCGTGTCAGGCTCGAGGTAATAAGCGAACCATACCTAAATGGTTAATCCCGAGTCGGACTGGGGGTAACAATTTTCTTCATAACTTAATGACCAGACATCATATTAACATAAACTAAAGAAGAAATTAAAGCTAAAGACCTATACAGTTCAGTAATTAATCATTATAAACGTTACTTTTTGTAAAGTTGTACTCATCTATAATGAAAACAATATAAAAAAATTATTTTTTGAAACCCACAGAAAATAATCTCTAGTTATGTATATTAAGTAAGAATAACATTTTGGAAGTTTTTGAGGATAATGATCTGTGTGTGATTTCAAATCTGTGACCGTTGTTATAAAATTCAAAATGACTGCGACAGTTTTACAAAATTTAACAATTACGCATTATTAGAAAAATATTATAATTATCATATTACCGTAATTTAAAATGGAAACATATTTCTATCAGGATATTCTTAAAAACTTACAGAAACTGAATTTCAGAAATAAGCAAATAAGTATATTTCGGGATTTACTATTTTTAAATCCGTCATTTTGAATTTTACAACAGTGACCACAAATTTTAAATCAATATCTCCAAAACTATTATATAACCTAAAAGTAAATATTTTCCTTCGCAGGAGAAATTGAATAATTTTTAATACTGATGTCTGCAAGTAAATAGAACCGCAAAGTAATTAAAACTCTAATTATTATTTTGAGAATAGCCTTCGACATCGGACATCGTTCCAAAAAATTGTGAGAAAATAAATTCTCGCGAATCAATTGAAATACGTTTTACACTTTTTTGTCGAGAGAAGGAGAGCGATTATATTGGTTTAAAGTTGTTTCAATCCGCGGCTTATAATTCCGACAATTCTTCGCATTTCCACGTAAAACTTCAGAAATGCATTCTTAAGGCTTCAGACTATCGAAATATGTAAAAACCAAAAAAAACCCAAATTTCTGAATACTCCTTTAAATCAACATATTATCAGTACCAGTTGAATAAATATTTTGTAAATTTTAGATATTTTTTTCTCTCAGTGTACAAAATGTCCCAAAATGCATGTCGCTTTTCCAAATATTTTCACGAGCAATTCAATTTTCATTCCCATCTTCTTTAAATATTTTCACGCCAGAGAAAAAGAGACACATCACGCGACCGGCAATGTGCCAAGGGCGTTGATAAAACAATTATACGTAATATGTCCCAATATACATGTCGCTTTCTCAAATATTTTCACGGCAGAGAAGACGAGACGTCCCTTCAGCGGGGTGACGGAGAGCGTTGATAAGACAACAGACACGTATCTTCCGTGCTAGCGATCCTAGCCGGCATTATAATACCGACGCACTTTTCATTTAAGTTTTACGACGTCGCGCCGGAGAATTGTCGTCCCTGTGGGATCCGAAATAACCTTTGAGAAAATGTGCCGAATAAAATATATGTGTACGCGTGTATATGTGTACGTACGCCCGTCGTGCTTGTGATCGACAATATACAGAAAACACAGAAGCATCGAGGGGGTGATGGCAAAATTGCTTTTACCCCGGGCAATTCTGGCTTTAAAACCCCATCGGTACTTCCTCGCGCTCTCGCCGGAACGGCTCGAGATCTGAAATTTTTTATTATAATTTCGGATCAAATTCGTCGTCTTGTTTTTCGTAAGCATTATCTCGCCGATTTCGGCCGTGTGGCGCTTCACGATTATCGCCGAGGATTATCCGCGTCCCGATGGGGCGGATCGCCGAATTTCAAGTTGAACTTCCCGGAATATGAACGATTCGAGGTGCTCTGCCTGCGCTTCGAACTACGTCGATCTCTCGTTTATTCCTTATGACGCTACACGTTCTCGCGCGGCTACTGGAAAATTCCCTCTGAAATAGCGCGAATATTCAACTCCCTGCTTTTCGGCTTTCGTGTTCTTGCGCGCAACTTCGACATAGACAGATGTAGTTCCGACATAAAATTTCTTTATCGAGATCAGCCCGCGGAAAAGTCCTTTGCTTCCAACTGCGCGCAGCGAACGTTTGAACGGAGTTTCATATATTTTTCTTTAATTTCATTCTTCAGTTTTTAACGCTTGATCGAGAGACATTATTATCCTCTCTCGCAGAATTAGTTACTCGCGCAACAATCATTCCGCATGGCTCTCATTAGCTTGGGAAATTTCTTTGTGATTGGATTATCCGAAGAGCTACGATACAAAAAAGCTTATTTCATTTTTTCACTTAAATTTTTCATTGATCTCGTGGAACTTCACGTTGTGGCAATTACTCGATTAAGTCGTGCAAGTCGGCGGAGGAATTCGTAAGTGAAACATCGTAATATCAAATGGTATCGCGTGAGAAAAAAAACTCGCACTCTCATACGCGTTTCCGTCCGAGTTCTCGCAGCACGCCCGCAATAATTGATTTGCAACTACTTTGCGCGAAATACTATCGTAAATGCGACGCGCGCGGTACGACCCAATAAAATCCAACGGCGATGCCGCTGAAGAACATTTCCGAGTTTACGTGAATGCAATTGCAATTTTACACGTGGAGATGGAGGTCGATCGACCGGCCTCGAGGTTTATGGTATTTATATGCTCGAAAGAATTTCACCGAAATCGCGGTATAAAGCGTGGTGAGTCTTTTTTCCACCGCGCTGAATATAAAATGTACGCTTCAACGATGTTAATGCGCCGATTATTTTAGAAACGTTGCATCAGTTCGACGAATTTCAGCTCGGGACGCTGCTCGGAATCGCATTTTTGGAAAAGTCCCGGGCTTAAATTAAAAAAAAAAAAGACACACTCCGCTTTACTCACAGCGTCTCCCAGCACTCAGCTTTCGGGTATTTCGAGTTTCCATCAGTTTTAGCTCTCGCTGTGACGGAGTAAGAAAAATTCGGAATGCAAGGATTAAACGGAAATATCGCGAGTTTACACTACGATATCGCTGATGATACGTGCGTGGCTCTTCACTGAATTACAACGCGAGATACAAATTCTCGGGCGAACAAATTTAATCCGCTAAAGTTTGACACGTGACGCCGTGTGCGAGCGAAGCTTCGTGACGAGCTCGCAGTGGCATGGACGAAAATATGTACATGCTGTTTAATCGTACGTATCGCCACGTATATTCGTCTGGAAAGCTTACCGTACGCTAAGTAATTTCGCCGCGATTCATATTTCTGTCGTTTAATCGTCATTTTTATTTTTTCGAAAGATGTAAATGCAAGTTTGATTGAACGAATTATATTTTTCTGCGCGCGATGGATACATGGATAATAAAGATAATCGTGAATAATAAAAAGAATAAAAATACATACACGATATTTGGTGAATCGAAATTTTAAAAAATTAAACACAAGCAAATTTATAAAGCGGAATTTGTGTTAATGTTCGCGCGTGCCTAATCTTTTCCGTTTTTCTTGTTTATTTACGTTTATTTACGTTCATATTGACACATTTTGCACAATTTTAGTACTTTTTTGCATATTTTGTTTTTTTTACTGAAGTTAAATATGAAAAAAAAATTTCCCCGAATCGCTCCAAACTTCAACCACATGTGAAAATTACCGGATAAACTGGTTATCCTATTTAATTCGGAAACTTACTTGCGAATATCCATAAACTTTGATCATTTTCTCGTCGGGATGGTGCTCGATTCTTCCACCGCCTACGCAGTTCGCCTGCAAAACACCACTGTGCTTTTTTATCTGCTCGCCCACTTCATCAAATATATCAGCTGAAATATAAAAAAAGGACATCACTATTTATATATTATACAATGACAAATCTTGATACAGTTTTAGGACAATTACATGTTTGATTAATTGCTCTAAATTATTCTAAAGTGGAGTGCATATGTATATATGTGATTTATATCATTCATATGCTACGAAAAAAGAAATATCTAAAAAAACAAAGAATATTTAATAAGAATATAATATCGGATAAGTTCCGATAACATATTTAAATCTAAATTTTTTTAATTTAATTAGAATAAACATAAAAAATTATGATTTAAAAAAAATGTGTATATTTCCTCATTTGAAAAAATTTGTTCAGTATAAAAATATATATACATGGAGAAAATATTGTAGTAAGAATTATTACAAAAGTTCGTAATACTGAAATATACCAGAATTATTATCGAAATTATTATGTGTGTAGTAATCTTTAATGATATGTACACATGACATACATGACAAAGATTACAACATACATAATAATTTCAATAATAATTCCTATATATTCCAGTATTTACAAATTTTATACATATACATATGTATTCCAATAATTCCAATATATTCCAGCATTACAAATTTCTATAATAATTTTTACCATAATATTTTTTCCATAATATAAACAAATATGTTATATTAGTATCTCGAATTAGCAGTAATTTATATTTTTTTAGAGAAAAAAAGATTATGCGATTTTGCGATAAGATGCGTATAATGACGAATTCTTTTGTGTATCGAAGATGAGTTAAAGGCGCGTTAAAGAGAATCTTCAACAAATACACGACAAATCGCACAAAAAATAACCGGAATTTCGTTCGTACATCGGCCCGCCGTTATTGCTGTTCCTCATTGACAAGAAGCGCCGGCGGCTCCCTCGATCTCTGATCTCCATCGCTCGCCTCCCTTCAAAGTTCGCGGATTCGCCGAGATCGCATACGGATAGCCGCGGGAACGCGTTCCGAATGCTAATCTCAATTCCTACCCATCGGTGGATCTTTATATGATCACAAATTACACGTCTCTTGGTAAACGGTATACGGACCGCGCCGCGTCGCTTTGAACGCGATGATACGAGTACAGATAGCGGCGAAAATCCGCACGTGCGTATAAGTATCGGGGGCCAATCAAGCTCCATTGTGTATCGCCGGTGTATCTCGTCGTGGTTCGCCATAGACACGAAAAAGATTGAAAGGAAGGATTTAATATCAATTTGCGGCTGTCGCGACGCGCGATGCACACGTATGCGGCTGTGCGTACAAATTGTGCTTTGAAATGCGCTATGCTTTATACGCCACGTTAACAGGCTAAGTGCGCTCGATGCGAGGATTAAGCGAGCGGCGCATACGGATTGCCCGATGGAAAACCGAAACAAAGCGCGAAATGCATCGTATAAAACGCATGAAAAGCTCCCTTGCCAGCATGACGTGACACAACACGACGTACGTGGCCGACGAAAATTTCGATTGAATTCGTCGATAGACCTGCGTCCACGGTCTCGAATGCGTGCTGTCGCGCCAGATACAATTTTGCGCGTGCGATGAGGGTGAGAGATATCTCCGGGAATGCGAAAATAATTAAGGATACCCATATAAATAATCAAGTATTTACAAGATTGTTATTTTTGTTTTCGTTTCTATATTTAAATTTATTTTTATTTCGATTGCTACTTTTACCTTTTCTTGTTCTTATCAGATTTATTATTAAAAAAGACTAAGAAATTGAACGATTCTGAACATAAAAAATAAATTCAAAATAACGACCTATAAGAGCGGACGCACGGAAGTTATAGTGCGATTATATATATATATATATATATCCGTTTATTTATAGGGGATTTAATCGCGCGCTATAAAAAAGAGAAAGAGATGGAGGCTACAAATGGTAAAATTGGTAGTGGAGGTTCGCAGTGGTAAAATTGGCAATGACAAATCGACAAAGACGTGAATTGTCGAGTGGTTGACACTGAAGAGTCGGGAGTTCAGAAAATTCAAGGATTTCTCGCCGCAAAAAGCTCTCGAGAGTTTTATTTTTCGAAAGCAACTTGAAAAAATTGCGCTCTTGAAAATAAATTCAATTTCTTGAATTCAATATTAGATACACGGAACGTGACGGAAGATAACTTCTCATTCCTGTTCGCGCGATGGGTATTCCCCTCCTGTTGTTCGTTTGCTTTGAGTAAATTGAGTATCCTCGCGGGCTTCGTCGTTATTCCAATAAATACATTTCGCACCACACTCACCGATTTGATCACGCTGCCGCCGCCTTCGGGCAAGTGATGTTCTGATAAGACATTCTATACTAAATCTATAAAAAAAAGAGATGCTTCCATATTTCTAAGAAAAAAATATCCCCGATACAAATAAACTTCAAATATCGGGAGCAAAATCTACAGCGGATGGAAACATAAACTACCAGCGAACCCTTTGCCGTGGGCATCAATGTATTTGAGAAAGGCAAAAACAGTTGCGTAATTGCCGTTTTCCAGATAAATAAATTACTGTAAAATCGTATTCCTCGAATACGATTCATCGAAAGGACGTAATGTAATGAGTGATATAAAATAAAACAGATATTATATTATAATGTAATGTAATAAATAATTATTACACATAAAATGTAAAATACAAACGAAAGGAAGGTTTTACTCGTTCGCTTTTCATGGCATATGCATTATCGACATCGATAGTGATAAATAAATTTAAAGTTACGCAAGATACACACGTAACAAATTCAAGCACACTCCAAACGTTTATAAACATTTAAAATATTCGTTAAAATATTCACGGGACCACCGCATGAGAAACTTTAGCGAGTTTTTGCATGATTCCGCAGAAGCGCGAGCGATAAGCATCGTGCTCGTGTCCCTTCCGAAAAAAAGAAAGTAGAAAAGGAAAGTAGAAAGAAAAAAACGGAGGGACCCGCCGACGGCGGGGGGAAAGATCGGAACTGGCAGTTTCATCCTCTTCTTGGGGTTCGTGAACCTTTGACCTCCGTGGGGTATATATCTCGGGCCTTCCGGACCGGTATGTACCCCATTAACTAGCCTCGCTATCTCACCCTTCGAAGTTCAGGAAACGAGAACCAAGGACGAAAGGTGAAGGTAAAGGGGCGTGCACAAAGAGCGTACACCAAGAAACCGAGCGTGAAGACGACGGTGAGGTAATGGGAGAAATGGCCAGGGACCAAGGCGCGGAAATCAGCACAAATGGAGAAACATCTCAGGGCGTGGGCGCGGAGAATAGCCGGTCGTTTGCGATGATACGGATGTGTTACCAAACTGATTTCCGCGACGCTAAGGAAAACGTATTGCTGATTATCTCATCCGTGAGAGAAAGCTTCTCGGACGTAAAAGTGTCATTCTTGTGATCGGGCGAGGGCCGCGAGGAGTTATCGCGCGCGCATGCAAAAGAGAGAAACGTTGTTTATCCATCCTAAATATCGCGAAGACGGTGAGCGTGATAACGCGCATAACGGGGGAATTATCCCGGCGATCCCGGCCGATTGTTTATTCAACGTTTGCTCAAATGTATCGCCCTGCGCGCGGATACTGTCGCGAACATCCGCCGCTCGAAGCCGATCCCCTTCCGGCCGGTCTGCAAATTTAACGAATTAACTCGAGAGAGAAATTATCGTCGGAATTTTTTCACGCAAAACATGCGTTTTGTATTCACCATGAAAGGTCGAAAAACAAGCGGGTGACTCGGTGTGTTTGCTCGTCGTGAAAAATTCACCGCCCTTTTTATTCTACCCGCGGACGTTCTGTAACGCGCTTCGCGGTATTCGCGAGAGAGAGAGAGAGTCGAAGTTCATAACTTACGAAAGAATGAGAAGCCAGTGGGGGAATTTACCGAAAGTGCGCTATAAATATATGCACACCGCCGACGAGCGCGGTGCGAACTTGGAAACTTAGGGGAAAAAAGGAAAATCGTAGATTACGGTGTTGGTGCGCTTGCGGCCGCGGCGTGTCCACCACGCGACGCTCGTCGCGCTCGAAACAGCCAACGTAGGGAAATAGAGAGATCTCTAATGTATTCCGTTAGATGTGTCGAGAATGTCTTTCTCGGTTGTAAAGTTTGTAATGTGCTGTAACCAATCTCGCTGTCTCGCCGATACGATTTATATCTATCTTGTGAGCCTCTACCAATCACGATATCAGCTCAGCCATTGCCGAACCCAGCATACGGAATACAGCAAGGTTGGTTACAGTACTGCAACTTTGAAACTAAAAAGTATATCGACATATCTAACGGAACACACTCAAAGAGTCCGGATATGAAACAACCATTTTTAATTGGTTCGCCATTTTTGCCAATTCTCGCAGAAATTCGAATTCCTATATTCGTGTGATTTTTAAATGTAAACAGTACAATTAAAAGAAATAAACGTTTTAAAAGTATCAACAAATAGATATCTTACATTACATGTTCAAATGCGTACTAAAAATGTTACTTAAGCCCGTAGAGAAACGGATCGTTCGTTGGCGCTCAATTTATCCGTCCGACGAGTATTTTGCCCATAAAGCATGACGTTTGATATTTCTACTAGGCACTTTCATTATGTAACTTTTGGCTGAAAAATTATTGTAAAATGGAGCTGCACCGTCTCCATCCATTTTTTACAGGCTAGGGTCTACTTCACATTGCAAACACTCTGAAGCGCCGTATAAACCGATCATGTTCTTTCGTTAAGCGTTCTAAAGCGTTTGCAGCGTGAAATGGGTCCTAATCTTAAAGACGCGTCAAAGTTAGAAAAAGACACAATATATTTCTGTTTCTCTCTCGCGTGATTTTGAAAAAACCGTCATGTCCAGACTTCTTATTAAAGGGTTTCTATATGGAAACAGCTTTCACCGTCGAAATTGCGAGCTCCGTTTCGAATCAGAAACTCAGGAGTCAGCTGGGACGTGTATGCCAGTTCAACCGAGTTAATTTGAGCGGATTTGCGATACGGCTTCGAAGAGCCCAAATCTCTCTCGTGGCGATAGTCAGTCGATCATGGC